TTAAATGAGAAAATCTAACTCTTCTGGTTCTTTTCCTTAAATAGTAGAAATAGTACAATTGGTTCACTTCAGGCCTAATTTCGAACTAGCAAATATGGCGGTTTCCTATTGGCAAATTTATTGTTAATATGTTAATGCATATATTAATACTATAAGAAGAGCTCATTTACCAAACGCGTAATTTGCTAGTGCTAAAACTAAGTAATTTATTTTTGATTAACTAACGGAAAAGGCAACTATATATAGTTGCACATCAAAAAAGATTTTTATATCTATTTTTACGATTAAGAGTCTTTTAATTTGTCTAATAAATTTCAATACAGGGTTAATTGATCAAATCCTAGTAATATCTTTTCAATTTAGTTTCTAAACAGATTTTAACAAATACACGACTAAATATAGCCTATACGACAAAAGGTAAACGAATTTGTCAAGAATTCAGGCACTTTGACCTAATTTCAACCGAAAAATTTATAGATTCTGGAATATTGCAAATCGAAAATAATGCAAATACTTAAATTATAAATTATAACTTAGATTACAAGGTTAACTCTTAATTCAATTTAAAAACCATAAATCTAAATATTACAAGTAAAAAATATTTAAGCGTTAAATATTCAGCTTTTATTTTTAAAGTCACTTATCATTAAGCTAGTTTTATTAAATGATGTAAACCTATTGAAATAAAAATGTTAGATTTTCGGATGTATGAATTAAACTTCTGGATGTATGAATCGAAACTATTTCTCTCTGCCGGGTGCAGCTAAGTCAAAAATACAACAAATAAAAATGACTCGGCATAATCTCGAAGCTAAATAATATTTTTTAGAAGTATATTAACTTTAAAACATAACATTGTAAGTAATTTATACTTAATATTTCTCACCTTTAAATTAAAAAAAATTTATCATGGAAAAGCAATCAAATAAGAAAAATTAGCAAAATTGTAAAAAAGACATAAAGAAATCATAATTACATAATAATCACCATAATTTAGTATGACATTGTTGTCTTGAATAGTGAAACCGAATCTTATTTAAACACGACTGTAATCGTTTCGAAGAAGTTAATGATCACAACATCCATTCCCAAAATTACATGTCAAGGAACAAAAAATTAATAGACACTTCATGTTGATTAGCTTTTAGCTCCCTGACATGTAAACAATGTAATACTACAACTTGATCATTTCAGCATTATCTAAAAATATAAAAGGTAAATGAAAAAAGTAAATAAAAATAATAAAATCAATATTTTTGCAGTGAGAAACTTATATTACATTTGCATTAAAATACCATTTCAGTTTATTCTTTTTTTCCACATGTCAAAATTCATTATAGACACTCAAAATAATTTTCCACATGTCAAAATTCATTATAGACACTCAAAATAATTTAATTTACCTTTATCTTTTTTTTTTTTTTTCTTCAAATGTATAATTGAAAAAAATACTTTACTTAAAATAGACAATAGAGTAAATATACAGTTTTAATGGATTAACTTGATTAAAGTTTGTTAAGAATTTATTAGTAGAATAACTCTTTGATTAAAAAAAAAAAAAAAGTTATGCATTTTTTATGTGTTCTTGCATATAAATAATTCAATTATTCAATATTCTATACTTTGGTGGAAAGTATGACATATGATTGATTGACAGAACATCTTGTTAAGATGTGTAAGCAATGGGGCTGTATCTTATCGAATAAAGAAAAGTAAAAGAAATAAAAACTTCACCTGAACACATGCTGAACACGTAGTTGTTGTTTTTACTCTTTAAGGTAAGCTTATATTTACGAAAATGCATAAAATATGATAATAAAAGAGGCGACTTTCATTTTTTTAGGAATGCTCTTAACAGAGATCTCAATATATCTTTTTTTTATTAATAACCAACGTCACTGACTTATTAAGAAACTATTTAGAAGTTTAGTATCTTGCTTAGCAATAGAGGGGCTGGAGAGGTTCTCTTCTTGCACCATGCTCTCTAAATGAACTTAATTGAAAACAATTTAATACTAACCTAATGTAAATACAAACAAATGAAAATTTTTATCATTATATTTATCAAATATAATAAATAAATATATATATATATATATATATATATATATATATATATATATATATATATATATATATATATATATATATATATATATATATACAGGTCAGAAATTTAAGGTTTAAGTTTACTATCCGAGTACCCCAAAAATGTTAACAAATATAGGAAGTGGGGCATCTGGACACTTCATTTTTATATTTAGAAAAATCTGGGAGGTATCACATTTTTAGAAAATTGACATTGAAAATCTGATAAAAAGTCATTATTTTCGTACTTAAAATAACTAAATATACTGACAGAAAGTTGAAGTTTATTTAAAAAAAGTTCATATACCAACTTTTCAAGGTATTTAATTTAATATTTATACATAAATATTAATAAAAAAAATACACAAAGTTGGTCAAAAAAACATTTTTTATTTTAAATATTTCTTTTTGACTATGCATTTTTATTTTTATTTTATTATAGATACCTAATATATTGAATCTATGGCTCCTCTGTTCTCTAAGGAGAAGAGAGAATACCATTTTAAAAGAAATCATGTACTTTTTCAAAAGATCATTTACTGTTGCTGCCTTGAAAAGAACAACAAATGCATTCCAGTTAATAAAAATTTGGAAGGTCTGGTTCAAGTTTTCTGTAAGCCTGAGTTTTCACTTAAAGTATTTGCCTACCCTACAGGATTATGCCCAGGTTGCAAGAAAAACTTATATCTCCGTAAGTCTGGTAAAACTATTGCAGACACAGTTACTTTAAAATGGAAAAATTCTGATTTTTCTAGCTTGCAAACCTCTAGAGATTGCTCGATATTATGCAGTATATTCAGTCAAGGAAGAAATAGATTATTAAATAAAATTATGAAAAAGGGAACTAGCTCAACACTGAAATTTTGCCAAATATGTTTCTGTGAAATTGCTAAAGGTAAACCCCACAAATGTTCCCCTTTAAAGAGTAGCACAAATCTTTCTGAGAGTATTTCTAAAATTTCTATAAAAGTAAAAGAACAAGTAGCTTCTTCCCTTCTAAAAAAAATTTATTCTGATCAAGAACAAAGTCTAGGAGCTCAAGCCGTTCTCAGAACAGGTAAAATATTGTTAAATAAAAATAGCTGTTACGTACGTTTTTAAAATAACAGTTTATATTATATTAAGGAGGTAAAAGTATTCATATTACACTCGGTACTCGAGAAAGTGACCAGAGAAAGATTCTTTATAATGAAGTAGAAGTTTTAGTAAATACCTTAGGACTTAGTCAATTGAAGTCAAATGAAATGTTAAAAACTTTGAGGAGATGCGGTGTAAAGTTTGAGTCAAACATGGAGAAAGCCCTGGATGAAAAAAGTAAACTACTTTCCAACTTTTATGTCACTGAATTATTAGACTTTCAAGAAAAGGAAAAAGATAATGACTATGCTACAGTGAAGAGACACTTAGTATATATTGAAGATATTACAACATTTCTGGATTTTGTAATGAAATATCGAGGGCAGGTTCCACAAAACACATTTGTGAAGGTTGGAATAGATTCAGGTATTTATATTTAAATTATTTAATTTATATTACTTATTATATTTTAATAATTGTTTTTTTGAAAACTTCTTTTTAAAAATATTAATTGTACATATTTATATACAAATATGTATGTGTGTAAGTATATATATATATATATATATTAATAGGTGAAGGATCACTAAAAGTTATAGTAATTCTGTTTGATCCAACTAAGGATAGGACAGAAGATAGCAGCTCCTTAGGAACATACTCAGGAGCAAGTTTGTCCACACATAGAATAAATTTTTCAGAAAACTATAGAAAAAATAGATAAAAGCATATTATTTAGGCAGCCATGTATAAACAGGTAATTAGCAATTTTGATGTGGTCATAAAAACTTACAATTTTAAGGTCTTTGTAAGAACTCT